ATTGTACTGTAAGTAATGTAAGTAATTGTATTGTTAGTAATTATCCAGTAAGTGATGTAGGTAATTGTCCTGTAAGTAATGTAAGTAGTTGAAATGAAAAAGAAAAACAATTTAGCTTGTTTCCTCTACGTAAATCCGTAAAAAGTATCTATGAATATCATCAGAAGCATATCACCTATGCTTCTGATATCATTTATACGGTTTATACGATGTATAAATACAAGCCTATAACTCACATTTGTAAAACTCCCTTAAGAAGTCTGCGACAGTCTGACGAAACGCGTGGGAGAATAAAACAAGTTTTACAACTACAGTTCGCCGAGTGCTGCTCACTAGTTCAAAGTTAAAAAATTCGCCAAGGCGGTTTTCAGTGGAGCCTGGGGGAGTTTTATTCTAAAGTATGTGCCTGCATACCATTTGGGCAGCGGTAACAAACACGAAATGAAAACAAGATGGTGGACGGTGAATATCGCAACCAAGGGGTAATATTTCTTTCTCTCTTTTTTTTTCAGTATAGTTTTTTAGGTAGTCCATCTAGGTAGTCCATTTGACAGTCCATTTTGGTGATCCATGGTCTGGGGGTCAGCGAAATGTACCTACCCGGCATTAGCATTAAATGAAAAATAAATTACAGGTTGGCAAGAGAACAGATTCACACATAAATAGAAAGAAAAGAAAAAAAAAGCGCACTATTAAGGAAGTTTATGAAGTTATTATCACAATAATATAAAAATATTAAGAAAACAGAAAAGCACACAAGACCGAGACAGGGTTTGGATAACTTAAAAGAATTATCCCAACCCTCAGAGTGTTTAGATGAGTTGATGTAAACACAGAAAAAGTGCTCAATTGTCTTAATTTATATTTAACAATTCTCAAAATTGTGCATGAATCTAAAATGTCATGAAAGTGTTAACATACTCTCATTTAAACACACCTATCAACCAATGAGAGTGTGTGTAGTGGCTCAGTTATTCTAATTTGCATTTTATGGTACCTTTGAATATTTTGGTATCTTATTTTTCTTTTATGCAAGTCAGAACAATATGGTTTCCTCAGATGCTAAGCAACTCGGGACCACATGTTGCAATGAAGTCAAAGACAGGCTGACCATTCGCTCCTTCCACCATTCCGACCAGAAACAGTGTGTTCAGATTTTTGTGGATGGATTTCAAGATTTCGTAAAAGATCTTGCTGTAGTAACATTCTGGTCGAAATTATCGAGGTATATTGGCTTGGCAGCTGTCTTCACATTACTTG